TATGTACTCGCTGGCTTGGTGCTCCGGTGCCAAGATAGGGATATGGGTTCCGTCTCTCACCCCACCACACTTAGGGAATCCCATTGCAGCAAAGCCATCCACTATGACCTGCACGTTTCCCAGAGTCACTGGTTCCATGAAAGTGCCCTTACGCATGCAAAAGTTTCGCAGCCTTTTTTTTAAATGAGTGTCATCAACATGGAAGCATGTCCTCTGGAATGGTGGCCAAAACATGAAGGGGCATACAAATTTTTAGCATATCTAGAACGTAAATACCTTGCAACGCTGGCTACAAAAGTGCATTGCGAACACCTGTACTCACTTTCAGGTAACATTGTAAATAAGAAGCAGGCAGCAGTATCTCCCATAAATGTAAAGACTTGTTTGTCTTAGAGATTGGCTGAATAAGAAGTAGGACTGAGTGGACTTGTAGGCTCTAAAGTTTTACATTGTTTTGTTTTTGAGTGCAGTTATTTTTTGTAGAAAATTCTACAAAATTCAACTTGCATTATAAAGAGATTGCACTACAGTACTTGTATGAGGTCAGTTGAAAAATACTATTTTTAATTTTTACAGTGAAAATATTTGTAATAAAAATAATATAAAGTGAGTACCCTATGCCGTATTCTGTGTTGTAAAAGAAATCAATATATTTGAAAATGTAGAAAAACATCCAAAAAGATTTAATACATTTCAATTGGTATTCTATTGTTTAACAGTGTGATTTAATCATGATTGATTTTTTAATCAGATTATTTTTGAGTTAATCACACGAGTTAACTGTGATTAATTGACAGCCCTAATTGTCAGGATATTAAGTATCAGATTAGTTTGAGTTTGTCAACATAATTGCTAATGAACCTCTAGCTAGTGACACAACTGGTGTGTGATAGATTAAATCGTGCAACTATTTGGTTTATTAAACCTCCACTGATTTAATGTCATTTAAACACTGAGGCCAAATTCTACACCTACATCCTGAAAATCCCTTTTTGAAATCAATGAGGATGAAGTCAATGGATTTACAAAGAATGCAGTTTTAGTAAAGAATTTGGCCCCCAGACTACCAGTAGAAAATACTTATTCTTTGCATCTTACTTTAAAAGAAATTATAATAAATGTATTGTGATTGTCATTGCATTTTTTACTGTGGA